ACACAATATAATAAGACCACAATGGACTTGAGAATGGTCCAGGACGGACCGAAACGTCGTCGTCCCTTCACCTTCTAGTGTGTGGTCTGGTCAACATGTGCAATAACGCTCACGAGTGAAAACGATTTGGCATTAGAGGAAGACTAAGATGTTTCGTACTTCGTTATCAGTCTTGAGAAGAGTCATAAGACAGGATCGAACCCCCACAGCTACAACAAGTGACAGCATGCTGTGCCATCAAAGCATTATGCTATATATTGATAACTAATGCTAGCTACTATTGGCTCTCAATAAGCCTAACTCTCGGAGCGACATAGACTTAACGATAACAAATTTAAACCGTAAGTCACAATAACGGGGTTGAAAATTTTTCCGACGTTTCAGTCCGTCCTAAACCATTGGAAAATCATGCGAAACTTACAATTACAACATCTAAACTTCTTTTGAGTGTTAATATGTGAGTCTTCACATAAACATTAAGTTTGTACTCACCACCAGAGCGCACACACGAGGTCGGAGAAGAGTAGACTTAGAAGTAAGCATAGAATAAGGGACTTGAGGGCCATAGTCTAGTTTGGTCACTTAGGAACCAACAGCAGTAGCTTGGGGCGAGTAGTGGCTGCTTCAGGAAGACACTGGGTGCTCTAGCCTCTAATTCATTCTTGGCCTCTTAGATCAGTGTCCTGGGAGACACTTAAGAGGCAGGTTGCTGACCCAAGTGTTCAGTGTTCAACTTGTTCAGTGTTCTCTTGTTCAACGAGTAAGTGTATCTTTAGAGATGCATAGAAATGGCTAAATGTTCTTGTCAAGAATCTTAAAGCCACTTTAATATATTTTGCTAAGAGTTTTCTGTTCAGATTTAATTAAGTCCTGCTTAAATAGCTGCTAGTTTCTTCACAGGTAGTTAGGCTGTTTGACCAAGTCCGTAATTACCAGTTAGAACTGTTGTGTAGGTTACCTGTAGCCTCAACAACACTGGCAGGTAGCAATGGTCTCTGCAAGAGCTACTCTGGACCTGTAGAGCAGCTGCTTCCAGTGTGATCTCACGGCCTCTGCAACACTTGCAACTCATCAAGACTCATGGCCACCATATCCAGTTCCAGTGGTCAATCTTCTCTTAGTGTCTGGGGCAGCAAGCGCCTTCAGGTTCAGAGGCCATGACGGCCGAAGAGCGCTGACTGTTTCCCGCCAAACCTCTGAAACGTCCTGTCATTGGCTGGGCGGATGAGTTATAGGCCAGAGCCTTAACCAATCAGCTTCGTTCACCGCGTGTACATACATGTTTATCTCTAATTTTCAACACCTTCTGCCAACAGATAACGAACCGGGTTTTTTCCCTTCACAAATCTTTTTTCCCCTCCCATGCGCTATCAATTTTAGAAATTAGTCGGAATATTTTCACGTGAAAATAGCGCGAGTGGGGCTAGCAGGAACACTCGCGGAGAGGCGTAGGGAACAACTGTGAGGGTGGAACTCACTAATCGGTAGCTTGGGCCACTGTGAGCCAGGGCCCACCACCACCACCACCACCACAACCACCCGCCCCAGCCCACCCAGCTACCTACACCCCACCCACCACCACCACCACCCAGCCGCCTCGCCAATCTGAAATACTTGCTAGACACCCCCGTAAATATCAGAGCTAAGCCCTGGCGTGTGTAGGGGTAAGTTCACCCTTCCGTCTGACGCAGCCCCACCCCTCCTGCGTCTGACGCAGCCCCACCCCTCCTGCGTCTGACGCAGCCCCACCCTCCCTGCGTCTGACGTAGCCCCACCCCTCCTGTGTCTGACGCAGTCCACCCTTCCGTCTGACGCAGCCCCACCCCTCCTACGTCTGACGCCAGCCAACCCCTCCTGCGTCTGACGCAGCTCACCCCCACTGCGTCTGACGCAGCCCACCCCTTGCGTCAGACGCAGCCCAATCGGCCACATTCCTGGTGTCTGTCATAAAGCTATAGAGGGACGCCCAGGCGGAAGACCTACCTGGTACACGTATAAATCTAACCTGACTACAGCTTCCTGTTGATATCTGCATTTAAATGTCCCCTCCATTGTCTCTCTCTCTCTCTCTCTCTCTCTCTCTCTCTCCTCTCTCTCTCTCTCTCTCTCTCTCTCTCTCTCCTCTCTCTCTCTCTCTCTCTCTCTCTCTCTCTCTCTCTCTCTCTCTCTCCCTCCTCTCTCTCTCTCCCTCTCTCTCCCTCTCTCTCTCTCTCTCTCTCTCTCTCTCTCTCTCTCTCTCCCTCTCTCTCTATCTCTCTCTCTCTCTCTCTCTCTCTCTCTCTCTCTCTCTCTCTCTCCCTGTCTCCCTGTCTCTCTCTCTCTCTCTCTCTCTCTCTCTCTCTCTCTCTCTCTCTCTCTCTCTCTCTCTCTCTCTCTCTCTCTCTCTCTCTCTCTCTCTCTCTCTCTCTCCTCTCTCTCTCTCTCTCTCTCCCTGTCTCCCTTCTCTCTCTCTCTCTCTCTCTCTCTCTCTCTCCTCTCTCTCTCTCTCTCTCTCTCTCTCTCTCTCTCTCTCTCTCTCTCTCTCTCTCTCTCTCTCTCTCTCTCTCTCTCTCTCTCTCTCTCTCTCTCTCTCTCTCTCTCTCTCTCTCTCCCTCTCTCTCTCTCTCTCTCTCTCTCTCTCTCCCTCTCTCTCTCTCCCTCTCTCTCTCTCTCTCTCTCTCTCCCTCGCTACAAACTGACTTATTTAATGAGCTTTTTATTCGTTTTTTTATTAGGGATAAACTTGATTTAATAAGATACGATCGTGTTATCTTCAGGATAACTCGGCCCAGGCCAGCCGAGTACCAGCGACTTGATATCCGTGTACCAGCGACTTCTAGGGTGACTTCATTTCACTGATATCTGAGAGTTAAGTGAACCTGTTCCAAATGCGTGTCGTCTTAAGAAATGAATGATTGGTATTGAATTGATGTTTGTGAGAGTGGAAGAACTAGCTAGCATGAGGGTGTCGTCGGCTGAGCGTCTTGTGTTGTGAATTCCGGCTTCTGATTTATTCCACATTGCTGGGGAGGGAAGGTTGGGGTCTTCAGACTGTAAGACTCGCTACACTGCCTATCTCAAGACATTGGGGTCAAGAATCAGCTGGAACAACCAGGGGTCAGATTCACGAAGCAGTTACGCAAGCACTTACGAACGTGTACACATCTTTCCTCAATCTTTGACGGCTTTGGTTACATTTATTAAACAGTTTACAAGCATGAAAACTTACCAATCAACTGTTGTTATTGTTATAAACAGCCTCCTGGTGCTTCCGAGCTCATTAACTGTTTAATAATTGTAAACAAAGCCGCCAAAGATTGAGAAAAGATGGACGGGTTCGTAAGTGCTTGCGTAAGTAAGTAATTATCAAAAGAAGGCACTAAACTGGGAAGGCTATGTAGCACCATCAAATGCGAGATAATCAGAGGAAGTGCCTGCGTAACTGCTTCGTGAATCTGGTCCCTGGCTTTGGGAACTGACTTTGGATGGGAGTTAGCAGCACCTGAATGGAAGGCCTTGCTTCAGAGTGACGTGAACAGCCAAATATATTCCTTGACCAGTAGTATATACGACCAAGAAGTTGGTTATATCCGCCAAACACACACCGAAACTACGACGTTGGTACAACGTTCGAACAAGTTTTAACACCTCCTATAACCAGTTATAACAACCAATATAGCAAGTTGTAACAACGTTCTAATACGTTATAAACACGTTAAGCCAAGATGTAACAACTTTATTACAAGTTGTAACAAGCGGAAAATAGAGACAGTTTCGGTTTGTGTTTCCAGGGCTAATTAAGCCATTGGTTGGTGCTGGATGCTGAGGCTGTAGGGACATGAAATGCATCTTTCTGCTCACAACTGTAATAATGACTGACAAGTTTGTCATTCAAGGAAATAAGGCTGTCTCCAGATGAGTATCATAACCCAGAAGAAAACTTCTCATTAGGAATAGTTGGATCCAAAGTCTATATGCAGGCGAGGAGTCACAATAACGGGGCTGAAGTATGTTGATCAGACTACACACTAGAAGGTGAAGGGACGACGACGTTTCGGTCCGTCCTGGACCATAAGAACATAAGAACAAAGGTAACTGCAGAAGGCCTATTGGCCCATACGAGGCAGCTCCTATCTATAACCACCCAATCCCACTCATATACATGTCCAACCCACGCTTGAAACAATCGAGGGACCCCCACCTCCACCACGTTACGCGGCAATTGGTTCCACAAATCAACAACCCTGTTACTGAACCAGTATTTACCATTCTCAAGTCGATTGTCACATTCTCACAATCGACTTGAGAATGGTCCAGGACGGACGGATCGTCGTCCCTTCACCTTCTAGTGTGTGGTCTGGTCAACATCCAAAGTCTAGTCGTCTCTGGTTAAAGATCACCTGAGACATTTTTCCCCTGAGAACACAATGCCGTTACTAACTCCTGAAAGATAGGGCTAGTGGAACCAGCAATCAAGAAAATTGGCAAATAATTGTCCTGCAGAGATAGAGGTCAGTGATCCACACGGAAAACCTCCACCGCTTGATCCAAGCACTGTGTCTAAGATGTCTTAAGTGATTATCCAACAGTTGGAAGTCAACTACCTTCTTAAATCACTCGACATACAGTAGGCATGAGACCCGGATGAGGTTAGCTGCTCTGTTATGAGGACCTCCTGCCTTAATCTCTCACGTCATTTCTTGATTGACGATTGTGGGATTATTGTTTCAAGCGAAGGTTGGACATGTATATGAGTGGGATTGAGTGATTATAAATAGGAGCTGCCTCGTATGGGCCAATAGGCCTTCTGCAGTTACCTTTGTTCTTATGTTCTTATGTATGGAAAATATCTCAGTTAATCTTTAGTGCCAGAGTGAGAGAGGGAACAGGTTAAGGGTTTGCTATCCAGGAGCTGGGATTGGTGATATCGTTATCAACATGGACAATATTATAGCTGGAAATGGGAACAAACCCATTATTTGGGTTTGAAACCCATCCCATCCCACCTAAACCCATCCCATCCCACCTAAACCCATCCCATCCCACCTAAACCCATCCCATCCCACCTAAACCCATCCCATCCCACCTAAACCCATCAGTGCAGGAGGAACTGATGTTGGTCGAGTTAGGAGTGAGGCACTGATACAGAGGTTTAAAACAGCCATAGAATTAGTTAGGAACAAGGGAGGAATCCCGATCATATGTGGCATTCTTCCAAGAAAGGATGGTGGAAATGAATGGTTATCGAGGGCACTTGGTGTCAATTGCCGGCTGGACAGATATTGTAAATCAAATGCAATATCATTCATTAATAACTGGGAACACTTTTATTGAAGAAATGTCTTGTTTGCTCGGGATGGGGTGCACTTGTCTAGTGCTGGGGTTATTGTTGTGGCCAACTCGTTGGATAGTTAGATAGATAGTTAGATAGTGGATACTCGTTGGATAGTTGGTTAGTAGATAGTGGTATGGGAATTGATATTGAGAATGGAGGCAATAAAAGTATGTGTTTTTTGGAGAAAAAAAAAGGCAAAATGAACAGGGAAGGAGAAAGGCTTTAAAAAAATACACTTAGGGGGGGGGGGGTATATTAAACTTAGGTATACCTATATACTACAGTTATACCTGTAATAGCTATATTAGATATACACTTAGGTAAAGTACACGAACAGTAGTTTATGAAACAAAATAAACGATTTAAATGCTCTCGTCTGTACAGAAACAATAGACATTACTGCACTTACCTGAAAAATGGATGAATGTAGAAACAGAACGATTAGTTGAAGATCAAATAAACGGATTTAAACTATTTCACACAGATAGATATATTAGACAAGGAGAGGGGGGAGTAGCTATATATGTTAGGGAAAAATTTTAAATGTAGTCTTAAAGAGGGAATCAAAACTGAACCCCACACAGAAACTATTTGGTTAGATTTAAAGAAAAAGGTAAAAATATTATAATGATAGTTATATATAGGCCTGTATAAAATAAGACCTGTTATATACAGGCCTTTATATAATAAGACCTGTCATATACAGGCCTTATATTATAATAGGAATTATATACTAGTCAACCTGTCCCCACCCACATAGACTTGTTCGGCTGAAGGCACAGAGTTAAGTTCTACTTCGTTATTATCCGTTATCTGACCTATCTCGGGTTTTAATGGACCTATCCTTTGCCTATCCATTGTTTGCAATAGACCTTCTGCAGTTACCTTTATCCTTATGTTCATTGTCACAATGTTGACCAGACCACACACTAGAAGGTGAAGGGACGACGACGTTTCGGTCCGTCCTGGACCATTCTCAAGTCGATTGTGAGAAGACAATCGACTTGAGAATGGTCCAGGACGGACCGAAACATCGTCGTCCCTTCACCTTCTAGTGTGTGTGGTCTGGGCAATAAGATTAGAGTCCGTGAAGGAATAGCCAGGAGCCCCCGTAGTGTAGGTGAGCCGGTCGGCCGAGCGGACAGCACGCTGGACTTGTGATCC